AAAAAAAATAGTACGTAAAAATGTATTTAACACAAGTACAACAATTTGTGGCAGGCAAAACTGGCAACACTTGATCGTTAAGAGTGATTGATGTTGTTTTTATGTACTTTGCATGTTGATGCTATTGGGCGCTGTTACAGTGGCAGCAACATTAACTGTTGCCGGCTCTGTTGTGTGCCATTTCGGATGTGACATTAATTTGTGTGTGTGTGCATGTAAAGGTGTGGTTGTGTTTAACGGCACAAGGTACATAAATCTAGTAAGCTATGTCAATATATAGATTGTATGTTTGCAGCGAAGTTTTCCATGTGCGTTAATAAGAGTTTGGCACGTTTTAAATATATTTCCTTTTCCCCACTTCATATTACAAACACAGCAAAGAAAGAAAAAAAAACAAACAATTGACTGTGTTGGTTTACTTGCGAATTTCGATATTTTACATTTTTAGTTCAGTCTGACGTAGCGAAAGTTTATTAAAATGTAATGAACATATCGAGATGTGAGTGACAGGACACTTAAATGTGACAAAATATTATTATATTTCAAAATTACTCTATTAAGTATATTAAGTAGCCAGACAAGTGAAATGGTCAATGTTTGGAGACTTAACAGTCTGTACATAACATAAAATTATATTCTGTTATATAGACTAATGAAACTCTGTAACAGATTGCATAAAGTAAGTAGCTAATATTGGTCATTTAATTAAAACTGTAATATATTCTGGACTTTTGTTGTTATAGTCGTGTTGTTGTTGTTGTTATAATTTATGTCGTTTCATTACTTTTGCAGGTGGAAAAAACTTCAATGCAAATGACGAATGACACTTGGTTTTTGTAGACACGTAATTTCAGGCCTTAGACATAAAAAAAACAATTTAGATGTCATTTTAGATGAAATAACTGAATTTAAATTTTGTATAGTCATCGTACCATAAATATATATTATTTAAATGCTTTAGGTATCTACTGCTTCGTGTTCAGTTTGTGGTTCATATATTATTATTTTCAACAATTGACTTATATTACGTGTTCATGACCAAGGCATGCAGGCTTAAGGTGTCACGATATAAGGTAATTATTGTTCAATAATATACTATAGTATATAGTAAATTGAAAATGGAACGATTTAGCTAAATATGTTCGCTTTCCCTATGTATTTAAAAGTTTAGCAATGGAAGGGAATTTTAGAACAGTTCCCCTTTTGTCAATATAATCTGCAAAAAAAAAAATTACACAATACTGATATCTTTAGCATAGCTGTTGTGTTGTCCAGGTCTAGCCAGAACTAGGTTTAAGTTTCTAGGGGCCCCTTTCTTCAACTCACTTAGCGATATCTCCAGCATCAGCATTAGCCAAATTCTTGCCTTTGTTAATGCCTCTGGTTGGTTCTATTTTGACCCTCTATCTACTACCCACTATTACGAGGTTTTTGTGGACTCAAAACGGCTTTCATCCTTAGCTATTTGAGGAGGATTCGTCTTCCCTCCACCACAACTAACTAACAACTAACTATACTGATATCTTTCTGTTTAAGTATTTTTTTTTTATTATTATAGATGTTTTGATTAAAAAAATTTGAGACTTCAAAATCTATGAAAACCAAAAAAAAATATGAATAAAAATATGACAGAACAGTTCGTTTCTTGAAAATAATACGAGTTGAATATTACTTTCAACGTATGGTATATTCGAATATGGTTGAGCAGTTCGATCTTTGTCAGTGATATCAAAATGACCACTTTTGAATTGTTTTACACAAATTTTTGCAAACTGTTGAGTTGGTTCATGCTCACCAATAATTTCTTAAACGAACTTTTTTACTTTTATGAAGTCAGAAAAATAATGTTAGTGTGATGCATTACTCATTCGGTAGTCAGATAAGGAGTAAATTTATTGATTAATTCATTTATACTCATTTTCCTAATTTACATACATAGCAAGATAATGTAAGATAATTCAATATATGATGTTGCCAGACTGGCTTTATATAACAATACCTAAAGTTAGTTTGTTGGCACGAAATTCGATGCAGTAAACCATATGTTGTTTACACTTTTTCGAATAATGACATATTAAATTTTGGATGTGGAATGGTAATATGACAGAATCCCGATGTATATTGTAAAACAATGTTTAGTACAAAAGTTACACCATGTCTTGGACAATCCCATTATATCTAAAAATCAATAAAATATATTTAAATATTTTTATACATATGGATAAAGCTATATAAATCTAAATGCTGCTAAGTTTCTAGAGTTTCTAACAGAGCTCTAGTTATATGTGTTATAAAACTTTCTGTATGATAATGTATATTACATTTGATGACTTGTCAAAAATATATTTTCTGAGATATATGATGACATTACCTTTAAGAAGTAATAATTTTGATGACATACAATCATATAATAGCCTATTTGAGTAAGAAAATATAAAAAAGATAAGTTTTTTGTTTAACTAATTATTAGTACTTATTATAATCTTGGAAGTGGATAATGACTCGACAACTTACAGTATAATTCACCGAATATTTTTATATTTTTTATATACATTGTACATTATATACATTATTTATTTTTTAACAGTTTTTTTACCCTACCTTGGACAAATTATGGCTCAACTGATTGACTGACTGATTGATTGCAACAAAATGTTTATTCAGCGTAATTGAAATTGAATTAAAAAAAAATTCTAAACAGACATGAAAAGCAATTGGAAGTTTTTTGATAGTACCTCAGCCTAACGATTGAATTTCTAGCACTCTTTTTTCTGAGTTCTAATTAACTATGCACCACACACTCCCTAATACTCCTTACATTTTGTTAAGAGTCACTCAGATAGTTCTAGTACCCATAATATAAATGTAGGTTTCGTGATCCTAGTTCAGAATTTACCTACCACCGCTTATGCTTACGCAATAGTCTCACCTTCTCTACCAACCACTCTTCCCTTTATACCACACGCATGCTTCCTTGTTTGGATAAATCTAGACTTGAATAGCTTTGTCCTCTTTATCTTAATTATCGCTTCTATTACTGAAATGAGGGTTCATACACTGTCTGCCGGGTTAATGGTGAAAATCTTTTATATTCATTCCAAACAGTGCGGCTTAAGTGGGTGTAGTCTTATACTAATTGATCCTCTCCACATGATCACAGTTCGCAATAGATAATAAAAATCAACCTAAATAGAAGAGATGCTGTTTCAGTAATATAATGGAGATTCTAAAACTCAGAAAAGAAATAGAAAATTAAATTCAGATAAGGATTTTTAAGTAATGATTGCAGCTAATAGTTATGTAAATATTTGGTGCACATTATTAATTTTTCATTTAGTTGTAGCTCCGTATATAGCTTGTAAAGTTCAACAGTTTTTCCACAATGTTTCATGAATCTATGCATACGATTACCTGCATGAATTTCCGTTTTGGTCTATATAGACTTACTAGATTGCTTGCAATGAATTACTTTTCTGAGAAAAGTTCTCTGAAACCCTAACACTTTTATGGTTGTGTAATATACAGCTGCTTTCATATTTCTTTTGTGAACATTTTAAAGTCTATATAAGACTTAAAATTAAGCCTAATCTAAAAAATACCATATATGTTAACGATAATTTTATTTTTAGAATTGAAAAGATTTGTTTTTTGGATAGTACTTCTCCGCTTAAAATACTCCTTTAATATTTTGATTATATTTTATAATATGAAATATTTTTATAATTTAAAAAAAAAAACATTTTTATAGTTTTATGTGTTAAATAAACGACCTAAGCACAGTAATAATTCCAATTTTTTTTTGTAATATGTAAATAGTGTAGAAATATGTGTAACACTCCACTAAATATTTTTTTCTCATTTATTCAGATACCTTACATTACGTACTATCTCTATTACGTACTATCACAAATTTTTAATTTATTTTTTTTTTTCTAACAAAGATGTAATTATATTCTTCCCACCCGAAGGAGAAAGTAAAGGTGCTCGCTGTGACGAATTCCATTAAATCACGTTTCTCTCACCACAGCTATAACATGGAATTGTATCGCATTTATATTGTTACTTTTATTATTAAACAACCAAAATGACCACACAAAAGTTCTAATTTACATAAACTAAAGAAATGCATTACTGCATTATTGCAGTACAACATTAATCAATGCTATTATCCTTCATACTCACATTTATATAAAGTTTTTTCCCTTCATTTAATTCCTTCTTTTTTTCTTCTTACAGCTGCTATAGAAAATTAACATTGGCATCGCTACACGCTCCATCGACAGGCTACGATGCACTGGGGACAGCTACGTCAATGCGCCGCTATGCATAGGAATAAGAATAACGCATACTGGGGAAAGCAGGAAAAGTTGCTGATGCAAAAAATTTAAATGAAAATTCCTTTTATGCAAGCACAACAGTAACAATAACAGCAGCCACAGCAGAACCAGTGGCACTAACGGGAGAAGGCAGCATCAATAAGAAAGAGTGCAGCAACGATAACTGGCAAGTGGTGGCGCCGTAATATATGCAATGCAAAAAGTGTTGCAAAGTATTTAAATTAAGTAAAAGATTGCAGAAAAGTAGTCGCAGCAGTAATAAAAGTGTCGCTGTAAATTTGTCAGATTACAAATGTAAATTTCAGACATTTCTTTTTTAATATGAATATGAATTTTGGCAACTCCCCACATGGCGGATTGAGGTATTAAAAGAATATTAAAGAAAATATTTGTGGCAAAAATGCATTCACATAGAAAAGTTGCCTGCCTTGTCAAAATGTTACGTATACGCCACGAGGTGCCGAAAATAGGAAATGCCATTATGGAAATGCAGCTGCAGCAATTGCAACAGCAAAAATTAAAACAAATCAAATGTGTTTGATAGACAAAATAAAATTCGTTCATTTTAAGTGTTTTGTAAAAATTAAAATTATTAATTTAGTAAACATAAAGATTAAAAAAGAATATTTATAGACGAGAAAATTAGTTCAAATATCGCTTAAATGCGCTGCAAAATAAAATTTAAGCTTTTCTCATTAAAGTAGTAGAAATAGAGAGTAGTAACGCGCATAAATCGTAAAAATTATTTTCGTTTGTGTTGTTTAAAGAACGTTTCAAAAATTGGTAAATCAAACAAAATGCCTGGTGGACGTAGAGGACTTGTTGCGCCGCAAAATACCTTCTTGGAAAATATAATCAGACGTTCCAATTCACAACGTAAGTAACAATTTAACTTGATTTATTATATGTGAAACTTACTTAATATAGTTTAGACAGTAGTTAAAGTTATTGTTTCTATAAGAAAGTCATTCTGACATAAAAAGCCAATAATATTATAAGATTAATTAACAGTATTTAAAAAAAAAGGAATTAAATTAATGTGTTTGTATACGAACTCCATTAATTGATAATAAAGCACCGCAAATCAATCTAGATATTTTACCTGAATAAATTGAAGTTGTAGTGAAAACATTGTGAAAAATATACAAAAATAACAAAATAAAATAATAGTATAGTAGAAGAAAGTGATAAATGGGAAATGGTTGAAAAGGATTTAAAGTGCCAAGAAAATTGATTCAACTATTGGCCACCTTGGGAGAAATAAAATTGGTAATTTTTTTATTTATATCACGTATTGGTAGGAAACACTTTTGATAACAAATGAAAAATTTTACCTTTAGTTGGGAAAAAGTTTTATAAATTCTGCATAAACTTTTCTCTTTTAATAAAAAAGATATACTCAGTTTTTAAAATATTTTAAAAATATGAAAATTTATCGAATTTCGAAATATTTACTTAAAGTTGTTGTTGTTTAGTTTGTTATACATAAAAGTTAATATGTGATCCATGAAACTTTTCAAAAAGGTTCAAATTGCAGAAAGAAATTCAAAATTATGTTTATGTGAAGTATTTGAAGGTAGTATCTTAAGTTTGCTTTGATTTAAAAAATTTTCTTAAATAATGGTTAGAAATATTGTTTTACTATATGTATATATGTATTCCTCCAAATTTTCTTCGATAAAGGTAAAAACTGTTGTATTACTACATATATACTCGTTTTTCTCCAAAGTTTCTTAACATTATTGTAAGTTACTGCCTCTACTATTTCCTTGTACAGAAAACTAACAAGTCTGTATGTTAAAATCGGATGAAGAATTATGTTGAGAAAATGTTGGTTAGAAAATATTATAAAATATTACTTTAAGAAAAAATTGATCTTGTTTTTCTAACAATTACAATTCTAGTTTTCTGTCAAATTAAAAACCATAATATTTTAATTGAATCTATAAAACTTTTTACTATAATAGGGTTAAACAAACATCCACTAAAATTTTTACTTTCATACTAAATTAAAAAGCATAATATTTTATATGATATCATAAAATTTTTATAAACTTATGTGTTGCATAAACGACCTTAGCCCGGTAAAAATATAAAAAACTAATTAAATATCGGTCGTAATAACAATTTACTAATCATAAAATTTATTAATATAAAAGATTTGAAATAAAAGTCTTACACTCAAATTATAAAAATAAACAAATACCTTTCAAAAATATGTTGGGTAGACTTTCTGAACATATATTCCATCAGAATACACATAAAATATATGCAAAAGAATAGTAAAACAGTTACCATATTTATATATAAAAGTATATATAGAAGTATGGTATGGTAGTAATATCACACGTAAAAGCTCTAAGTCCATAATTATAAACTTGGGGAATTTGTATCTAGAGATTAATTGTACTCGTTCATGCTCTTAAAATATTTCTCAAAATCCAACTTCTTTTAAGAATCGTAGTATTGAAGAGATAAAATATAAAAGTTTCGAAAACGTGCTCACCTAGGTATTTCTTTTGTTTATGAATCAGTGCCGGGCTGTAAGCATATGTTTTGAGGATACATTCTTTTCACTACAAAATGTACAAGTTTCAAAAAATTAAAGTTCTAATCTTTCGAGGTAATAATTCAAACAACAATACCGTGTCAAATACTTTATTCGTTTTAGATTCAAAGTACTTGTAAGCGATTTAGAATACGGTAACCCTAAAACATTAGCCAATCACGTTTTCTTCCTAAATGGGTAAAAAGAAATACCTTCCCTTAAATCGGAGAATGATCCTCAAACCTTCAACAACTAGGCTGCTCCTTTTCTGGCTAGTTTATCTGCAATTTTGTTGATGATAAGTCCAGCGTATGCCGGAATTTGTGGGATGTTTAGCTGGAGTGCCTTAAACTCCATCATAAGTGTTGGTACTAATTAATGAGAATTGTGACCTTTTATTGCTGCCCAGCTATCAGGTGAGTGACTTTTCTGTGGCTCTGATATTTACGTTCAAGATTTAAGGATGCATAGATGTCTATCGCATAAGATTCTAACGCTACGTGAAAGAGTATGAAAAATTAGTTATAGGCTAACTTCCTACAAACTATTATATAAATTTATTTGTATTAAATAAAATTTTGACTCATGTGTCTTGATTTTTAGATAAATAAAATGCTGATTGGTGCCTTCATATTAGTTAAAAGTTCTAATATTATCACTAAAATTATACAGTGATCATCATTTATTCATGAAACTTATAGGGAATACATAAGTTAGTCAATGAGATGGGTGGGACCCTGTAGCACCCCTAGCTATCAAAGAGTAAAAGTGCCCAGTTGCGCTGACTCGAAACAAAGGATCAACATAGCATTCTCTTAGAGTTCAAGTGCATAAGATTCTTATCCTTCAGTTCTTGTCGTCAACGTCAGATATAAGTTTATGTATAACCTACGAATATGATGAATTGGAAAAGATTATTGGCGTTTATACTCATGAAGACTTTTATACGCATGAAGACACCAATTCTGTTGTCGATTCTTGGTTTTTCGATATCTATTTGCAATAACCGCATTCGATTCTATTACGTTACATAGGAGTATTGAGTATTTTGAGTTGCCTGATTCTCATGTTTACTCATAACCAATATTTGTTGTTTTTGATCGAATCAGAGTTTGTGTGCTAAAAATAAGGATTCGGATGTCATTATATGCTTCGTTTTAAAATAAATTTCAATAACCACCATCTATTCCACTACTAGAAATAGGAAAGAATGACTGGGTGATAAACATGTTTTAGATTTTCAGTAACCATACTTGAAACATATTGCAGGTTATCCAAATAATTCAGATAACCGTAGTAGACTTCAGTCTCTTGCATTGGAAGTTTTGTTATAAAGTGATTAAATGAGAATGATTAATATAGTTTTCATTATTTTGAAAAAATAATGTAATATTTATTTAAGCATTACATAAAGTTTTTAGTGAATACTTTCACATATATTTTTATTAATTATTTTATGCCCTTCAAAACTTACTAAAAGTTAACATATTAACTGTTTATAAAATAGTGTAAACTAAAGCCAATAGCTTGGGAGCCTAAATCCCTTTAAGTGCTTTGCAGCACCAATGTTCTTAATGTTGCGAATATGAAGACTTCAGTGATATTATCAAACCAAAACAATGTCTATAGCTATTAAAACAAAAGATCATAAAGCACTGTTTTATGTTTACTTCATTATGATTTCAGTTTCCGTATTGGTATGTGGTTTTACGAGTTATCCATAAGAAGCGTTTCTACCATATGGTTTTGGTTTCACGTACTATTAATTTATTAATTTTTTGTTTATATATCTTCCCCATTGTTTTCATTATAGTTTTTTATGTTTTCTCTCCCATATTTGGGTAACATAATGACTGCCACCTTCCATACGATATGCCTACAGGTTCCTTTTTATGTGGGCGCGTTTAATGGTGTGTAAAAATGTGACTTTATTCGCATCGCCTGGCAATTATATCAACTGTTTTTATTTTCCAAACATTAAAGTACAAAAAAAAAAAAGAAACAATAATAAACTTTTTGGTGTATTTAATCAAGGATTTAAGGATGTACTAAAATGTGAACACTTTGACGAACATATGTGAATACTTGTTAAAAAGTATAAAACAATCAATACTTTTAAAATCTGTAAACAATGTTTTTATCCTTGTTTCAGTTTTTTAAATGAAAATGTTTGTGGTTTGAAGTAGTTTTAATGAATGTACATTTGTTTTTAAATGTCGACATATATTTATGTACTCGGAAATCCATATACTGGTATATGTATATAATTGGATGGTTGGAATGGTATATATATTTAAAAGAGTGGTTTGTTACATATTTATGAAAGGAATTTCAAGGATTAAAGAGAGTATTATTAATGCAAAGTCAAGTAAAACATAAAATATTTAAGTCAATGTGAACCCAATGTTTATATTTAAAAAAGTTAATTTGACGTCAATGAATATAAACAAAAACGAGATGAACACTGCATATTGTGATCTGGGACTTTCTTGCGAATAATGAAATTGTCTTCTGCATATCTTAAACACCTAAAACTATGTTATAGTTTAAAAAAGTAAATTAAATTATACTTATCATTAAAATAGAATTATAAATTTTAATGTTAATTTTACTTATTATATTTTTTCATTTTCATTTAAAAAATATGTTTATATTTCCATTTATAAAATATGTTTATTTATTTAGTCCAAAATTTCTTATAACAATTTGTTTATTAAATTTGATACGTCGTTTAATATTTTGGGGTACTTCCTTTGAAGCTACTGCTTTGAACTCAAAGCATTATAATTATTAAATTGAAAATATTATTAAAAATTATCTCAATCTACAAATTTTCTCTTCAACATAAAATATTTTAAATAAATTATTCATACGTCTTTAAACAGCAGTTTTATAGAATCATTAAAGCCCTGTTTATTTAAATTTTAAATTTACAAAACCAGATATACCGCAGTCAGTATCAACTTTCCATATATAAGTAATGACCGCTGCTAGATTTAACAATCTTCTAATAATGGTAACTTAATTCGATCATATCATATAGGTATGCATACATATTTACTGAGATACTTAAGTAATAGTAATTGATTTTCAGAATTTTCTATTGTTTCATCTTTGCTCATTACATTATCTTGAGTCGATATTGCTTGCTCATTTTAATGACTTTCCTTTATAATGTTGATATAATGATTCACTAATTTACAGCATACTTAAGGGCGCATACTTAAGCATCCTTTTCCGGAGGCCTTGTTTGATGTTAGTTTATGTTCACTTATTTGTTTGCTTTTTGTGTTGTCAGAATTTCGTAAACAAATTTAGCTTTTGGCTC